GAGATCATCTTCTCTGTAAAAAAGAAACATAATTCAATTAACAGTTGACAGTAGTTAAATTTGACATCTTAATTTAATTTTACTTTGGATCGGGATTAAAACATCCTGGAACAAGCGTGTGAGCAAAAAAACCTAATTTAAAAAAATAAGTGGTGGCATTTAAATAACGACGAATGTATTTCCGAGAACAAAACAAATATCTTCTTTGTTAAGAGAAAAAATGAGTAAAACAGTAGCAACTGGGAACACTCGCACTGTTATGATTGTTATATATTTTTGAGTGTTTCAACGATAAATAAGTCATTTTGGCAACGTGCATACTTTCGCGATGCTGTTTGAATAACAAGCTAAGAAGGAATAATGCGTTTTACTATGCTTACACCACAAAATTCTAAACATCACATACAGTTTCAACACTTCTTGTAATGCGGTTTCAGCGGCAATGGGCTGTCGAAGGTTACGTAAACAAACGGCCTTCAGAAAGAAGTAAAGTGCTCGGTCGTCTGGGTCAGCTGAAATAATGCTTGAGAAGCGAGAGACAGAAAATGATTGGAAAAGAAACAAAAAATACCTCCGGACTTCCTCGACAACCAGATGTTTTCAAGGTCTTCTAGTATACCTTGCATGACAGGCAGATTATTCGCAACAATATCAAACCCACTCCAGAAATACATGAATTCCTAAATAATTTGATTTTGAATTGTAATACCTCTGCGTGCCTATACCTAACTTATAGACCGCTAAGCCTTCTTCTAGAAAAACTGAAGTTATCATGGTAATCTCATAATATATTATTGGATCGAGTGTGCCGTTTTTCCAAAGACAAAAATGTTTGAAGAAACTGAAGGTTTTGGCATCGTATAACATTCAGATACAGAGGTCTTCTCTATGTAACATGCTCTATTTCAAAAATTTCGGGTTTTTTCAAATGGAAGAGGATAAATATGTATTTTCTGCGGAAATAAAAAGCTTAACCGGCAGCTTGATTTCGTGGATTTGACAACAGGACTCTCCCTCTATTCCTGATGAGCCCGGAGCTCACAATAGCGATATATGTAATCAGCATATCAAATGACCCTGCTA